TCTCAAAGGTTTTAAATGCCCAGACTCATCTGACCTTGCCCCAACAATCAGCACCATGGGTTCTTCTAAGCAGTTGTGTAGAAAACTGAAACTGAAAATAGTTGACGCTCACAAAGCTGGAGAAGGCTATAAGAAGATAGCAAAGCGTTTTCAGATATCAATATCCTCTGTTCGGAATGTAATTAAGAAATGGCAGTCATCAGGAACAGTGGAAGTTAAAGCAAGATCTGGAAGACCAAGAAAAATATTAGACAGAACAGCTCGCAGGATTGTGAGAAAAACAATTCAAAACCCACGTTTGACTGCACGATCCCTCCAGAAAGATCTGGCAGACACTGGAGTTGTGGTACACTATTCCACTATAAAGAGATACTTGTACAAATATGGTCTTCATGGAAGAGTCATCAGAAGAAAACCTCTTCTACGTCCTCAGCACAAAAATCATCGATTGAACTTTGCAAATGAACATATAGACAAGCCTGATGCATTTTGGAAACAAGTTCTGTGGACCGATGAGGTTAAAATTGAACTTTTTGGCCAGAATGAGCAAAGGTACGTTTGGGAGAAGAAGGGGCACAGAATTTAATGAAAAGAACCTCTGTCCAACTGTTAAGCATGGGGTTGGATCAATCATGCTTTGGGGTTGTGTTGCAGCCAGTGGCACAGGGAACATCTCACGAGTAGAAGGAAAAATGGATTCAATAAAATTTCAGCAAATTTTGGATGGTAACTTGATGCCATCTGTGAAAAAGCTGAAGTTAAAGAGAGGATGGCTTCTACAAATGGATAATGATCCTAAACACACCTCGTAATCCACGGGGGATTACATCAAGAGGCGTAAACTGAAGGTTTTGCCATGGCCTTCACAATCTCCTGACCTCAACATAATTGAAAATCTATGGATAGACCTTAAAAGAGCAGTGCGTGACAGACAGCCCAGAAATCTCAAAGAACTGGAAGACTTTTGTAAGGAAGAATGGGCAAAGATACCTCAAACAAGAATTGAAAGACTCTTGGCTGGCTACAAAAAGCGTTTACAAGCTGTGATACTTGCCAAAGGGGGCAGTACAAGATATTAACTCTGCAGGGTGCCCAAACTTTTGCAGACGCCATTTTTTTGTTTTCTGTTATTTTGAAAGTGTAAATGATGGAAATAAAATCTAACTTTTGTTGATATATTATAAGAATGTCTAATCTGTAATTTGATGCCTTTTGGAGATTTTTCCATCTTTCCTTGGCTTCTTTATGCACATTAATACAAATTTTTAGCTGGGGTGCCCAAACTTTCGATCCCCACTGTATATATATATATATATATACACACACACACACAAGTCCTTTTTATATATATATATATATATATATATATATATATATATATCCAAGTCCTTTATCGTATATATATCCAAGTCCTTTATCGTATATATATACGTATATATATATATATATATATATATATATACATACACACAAGTCCTTTATTGTATATATATATATATATATATATATCCAAGTCCTTTATCGTGTAAATATATATCCAAGTCCTTTATCATATATATACGTATATATATATATATATATATATATATATATATACATACACATACACACAAGTCCTTTATTGTATATAGAAAACAACATGTTCAACTCATTTTCCTATTGTACAGTATATATTAAGCAACATTGATATCTAACCCAGCTCCTTTATTGTATATAAGACACAACATGAATGTTCAAATCCTTTATTATATATAGGAAACAACATAAATGACATTATTATCAAACGCTTTCACTGTATATGTAGAAAACCTGAATTAATCAGTCAGAAGCATGCCATATTCTAAATATCTCTAGCTACCCAAGATGTTGTTTATAATATAAATTCAAGTGTAAGCTGTAGTGATTAAGGCTAGGTTCACACCTATGCAGGTTTCGTTTGAGCCGTTTATGCATTGCGTTTTGCGTTGCATTTTGCACCTACGTTTTTGACACATTTTTGCCACTTTTGTGATGCGTTTTGTATTATTATTTTAAGTTTTTTATTTTTTTTGTTGCTAGGCAGATATAAAATGCAAAACGCAGCAAAAACGCAGCAACAACGAAATACATGTTTTTCTGCAGCGTCTCAATTGAAGTCTATAGAACCAAGAACGCAACTTTTTGCATTCAAAAAAGTCCCTGACCCTTTCCAAAAACGCACCGGGTGAAAACGCGGAGATGTGAACATGTTCCATAGGAAATCATGTTAAATAGACTGTACTGCGCTTCTGCAAAACGCTGCAGAAAATGCTTAGGTGTGAACTTAGGGTAAAGCTGAATTCCAGGCAGGTGTACAGGACATACTGTAAGTGAAGGCAGCTCTGTATTGAGACACCATTAATAGTATTTTTGTTTAATACAAGCAGTGTAAACTTGGCGTTGATAACACTGGGCATCCAAGACATGTCTCTTGTGGGGGTGCCCCAAGCTCACAATGCTGCCACCACCAGCCAACAATGTTTTTTTTAATTAAACTTCAGGCTCCGCAGGGCCAATCCTAATGGAACAGCCAACAGACCTCAGATACACCACAAGGCTTGTGGCTCCATATTGGTATAATGTGTTCTGGGGGTAGTTGTATGGGAAAACGTGTACTGGGGATGGGATTTTGGAGGGGGGATAAATGTGTACAGATGTGTAATGGGGAAGGGGGATTAGTGAAGGGGGAAAGATGTGTACTGGGGGAGTTGGAGGGGAGAGATGTGAACTGGGGGAGTTGGAGGGGAGAAATGTGTACTGTTGTGGGGATGTATAGAAAGGGTGTTGAGGGGGGAAAAGATGTGTACTGAGGAGGGAGAGATGTGAACTGGGGGTGTTGGAGGGGAGAAATGTGTACTGTGGGGGGATGTATAGAAAAGGTGTTGAGGGGGAAAAGATGTGTACTGAGGAGGGAGAGATGTAAACTGGAGGCGGGGATGGGATGGAGGGGAAAAGTATGTGTAATGGGGTTAAAGGGGAGAGGTGTGTGTATTGGGTGTGGAGTTGAAGGGGGAAATTGTGTGCTGAATGGGGAGAGATGTGTAATGGGGGAGAGGTAGGGGAGAGATGTGTACTGGGGGAGTTGGAGGGGAGAAATGTGTACTGTGGGGGGGGGAAGTATAGAAGTGGTGTTGAGGGGGAAAAGATGTGTACTGAGGAGGGAGAGATGTCAAATGGAGGAGGGGATGGGATGGAGAGGAAAAAGATGTGTGATGGTGTTAAAGGGGAGAGATGTGTGTGTACTGGGTGTGGAGTTGAAGGGGGAACATTATGTGCTGAATGGGGAGAGATATGTAATGGGGAGTTAAAGGGGGGAGAGATGTGTATTGGGGAAGGTTTGTAGGGGGAAGGGGGGGTTGTACTCGGAGGAGGGGTTGGGGGTAGATGTGTACTGAGGGGGAAGAGAAGTAAACTGGGGCTGTTGAGGGGGAAGCGATATGTACTGAGGAGGGAGAGGTGTGAACTGGAGAAGGAAAAGTAGTTGTAGTGAGTTCAGCAGCACAAGGGAGAAGCAGCACAAGGAGCATACTGATTGGAGGTCAGAGAAGAGCAACAGGGAGATGAGCCCATCAGTCTGATGTTCCTCCTTTCACAGCTCAGTCACAGGGTGAGGGTGGAGAGGAGACCTAGACGTGTTTACTAAACTGCAGCAAGGATAAATCAGACCAGCACCCTTGCCAGGCAGGGCTATGTGGTGTGGCAGAGCTATTTAAATCTCAGTATGGGATGTACAGAAATAGACGTACTTTGACAATTAAAACAGCTCTCTCATGTATTTCATCTGTGTTGCTCATTGTTTGTCTGGAGTTCAATTGTAAGCCTGTGTTTATGTTGCTTGCAATGCCTACTGCATGTTAAATAAACCCTGATATGTGGCCCAGTTTCAGCATTATATGCCACAGCCCTCGCCCAATATTCTACATAGGACTAAACAGAGAAAGGACTCCATAGAGAAGATCATAACTGAGCCAGGGACAGATGGCACCTATGTTTTCAATGACATTCTTTAAAGCCTAAGTTCTGGTTCACACTAAATTCGAATTCAACGTGGTGCAATTTGGTCCAATTTAAAGCATAACTTCAAAGTAGCGCTGATATAGACACAGGTGCGATTTCAGTACCATATACCTTATCCACTTGCCCTCCAGAGGATTTACCCCAATGACCAGGCCATTTTTTGCAATGCAGTGCTGTGTTCCTTTAACTGGCAATTGCACGGTCATGCAACTCTGTACATATATGAAAGGTATGCCCCTTTTCCCCACAAATAGAGCTTTCTTTCAGTGGTATTTGCTCATTTGTGCATTTTTATTTTTTTCGCTATAAAACAAAAAAACTTGACAATTTTGAAAAAAAAAATCCCCACAATATTTTTGACTTTTTACTATAAAACATATCCAGTAAAAAAATTTACAAAATCTAATTTCGTCATACATTTAGGCCAAAATGTATTCTGCTGCATGTTTTTGCTACAAAAAAAATCCCAGTACATGTAAATGAATTGGTTTACATGAAAGTTATAGTGTCTACAAATGGCGATATATATTAGATTTTTTTTAGTAATGGCGGAGATCAGCGACTTATAGTGGGACTACGGCGGGCTTTTTGACACTGGGGGAATCTGACTAACTGCCACTGACATTCATGACACTAATACAGTGATCAGTGCTAATAAAAAGCACTGACACTGTGCTAATGACACTGGGCAGGAAGGGGTTAACATCTGGGGCGATCAACGGGTTAACTGTGTGCAGTTTTACTGTGTTTTGTGTGTGTGTTTTACTTGGGAAACATACTGTTGTGTATTTCACAGCAGCATGTTACTGCTGATAGGAGAGAGTCCTGTGTTTTTGACACACAGGTCTCTCCCCTGTCAGTGATACTTGGTGATCGCTGGCTGGCGGGGAATCTCTGGCCAGGACCTGGGGATAGACATCTGTAGCCACCAATGGCGGCGGGGGTAGGGCAGCGCGTGCACCTACCTGGAAATGCAAAATCATGTATATATACGTGATTTTGCGCAGCCCTGCTGCCCTGTAGCAGTAGTTCTGCTATAGGGCAGTAGGGAAGCGGTTATAGTCTATGAGAGTTAAATCGCACTGAAGTGGTGAAAAAGTAATGCAGGAACTATTTTTCAAGTCACATTACTTAAAATTGCACCTATTAAAACAGTGCCATAGAAATACATAACATGCGACTTCAGGTGCAGTTTGTAAATCGCATGTCGCACCTTATAGTCATAACAGTGTGAACCAGGGCTAAGTGCATGTAGGCAAGTGAAATATATTTTCTCAACTGCAGGTGGAACTCAACCTCAGAGGGAGAAAAAGGCAAGAGGAACCCAGCTCCTCTATGGTTTCCTGGGTCACAGGGGGCAACTATCCGATTGGATGCTGGCCTGGCACCCCATGTGAATCTGGGTCAGCCAGAATCTACTTTAGACCCTGGCTCCCAGGCTTGGCGCACATTTTGCATGTGGCTAGAGTAGGGACAGACATTTGTCTGTCAAGGACAGTGGTTGGCATCAGGGAATTGTTCCAGAGCAGCAGGGAAAGTTCAGGGACATGCCATCCTTCCTAGAAGCCTACCCACTTGGGTATGGCTCCTCAAGACAGACATTGTCGGCACACCTGAGACCTACTGCACTGATACATACCCTGTGAGTGTTCATGGTTGGGTGACCTTCTACAGCCTGTACTACAGCTTCTAGGAATTAAACATGATCTATGAATGTAGGGGGCCTATCAATCATCTGTCCATCCTTTATTCATAGATCCCCACTTCAATCATAGAAGCTTTATTTATGAATGGAGCAGCTGGGCAGAAACGGCTGGCATAGTTGGACACTCTTGATGGGGGCTTGTAACAGCCTTTTAATCTATTATCCCCCACTACATGGGAATATTATGGTGGTGGGGATGGAGGGTAGGCATGGTTGGAGGAAGATTTCAACTAAAAGAAGAGGCATCCATACTGGCTTTAAGCAATGGGGAAATCAGCATCAGGGAAAACACAGGCAACACTGGGAAGAATTCCTATGGCTTCTGGCTTCCTTTTCTGGGCTCAGCTTCTCGAGTTCATTTCCTTTTTCATCTGGTGTTGATCTATGTCTATTAGTACAATGTCTTTGTTAGTACTATGTCTATTAGAACACAACAAGAGTTGTGTTCAAGCAAGCTGGTCACTGGACAGAGATGTGGGTAATCATATTTCCATTTGCCCAGGTTGTTGTTACAAGGGAAGCAGGGACCCTGCCATAAACTCAAGTGCCCTTAGTCTAAATGCAATATTTAAAAATAAAAACACAGCGCAAAAAAAAATAGACAAATATAAATAAATAAATTTAAAAAAACATAAATGGAAAGTATATAAAATAATAATGTCCAAATCAAAGTGCAAAAATTAAAAGTTCCAATCCAAAAAAATGTATGAAGATATTCTAACTCCAAAGTGCTTCAAAGAAATAAAAACGTGCCGTGTGCAGAAAACTTCAGTGTATTAACACCATCCGTGATAACCAACATGTACTGCACTCACCAAATATAATGGACTCTCAAATGATTAAGAGTCAAATACACTTTTGTATATTAACCACTTCAAGTCAGGACACTTTTACCCCCTTCCTGTCCAGGCCAATTTCCAGCTTTCAGTGCTATCACACTTTGAATGACAATTGCGCGGTCATGCAACACTGTACCCATATGGAATTTTTAGCATTTTTTGGAGACAGATAAAGCTTTATTTTGGTGGTGTTTATTCAACACTGGGATTTTTTTTTTTCTGCTATATAAATGAAAAAGTCCAAAAATTTTGAAAAAAAGTGTTTTTCTTATAAAATTTTGCTAATAAATAATCTTTCTTCATAAATCTTGGCTAAAATGTATTCAGTTATCTTTTCAGTAAAAAAAAAAAAACCCAAATTAGTTTATAACAAAAAATTATAATTTTTCTAAATTTTTGTTTACATTATTTTTTTTAATATTATTTTATGTTTTTTATTTTTTCACATACTGCCACCCTAGCAGTACAGTGTCACCATAGTGACACTGTACTGTTTGTGGGGGGTGATGAAGATTTTTTTTACACTGATTGCTTTTACACCTATAAAGGCTGTAAAGGCAATCATTTCTCCTTCTCTTTGGCTGCATTCTTGCAGCCATTGAGAAATAATGTGTGAGCTGTCATTGGTCACAGCTTGTCACATGGTACAAGGCTGTTTTGAATAGCCTTGTACCATGTCACCTCTGTGATCATTCACAGATTTCACACGTAGTAAGCAATGATGTCAAAAGTGATATCTTGCTTACTACTCTTCATGTCATCACTGATTGGCCAATCAGTGATCACGATTGGGACCTCACACAGAGGTCCCGTATGACAATCTGTGTTCCACTGTGTCCAGTGCTGTGCGCTCCCAGGGAGCGCGCACAAGCAGGGAACATGGAGGTCGTTTATAAATGGCCCCCCGCCCCTGCACTGCTCCCGTCCGGACGTTTATATCCATGGGCCAGATGGGAAGTGGTTAAATATCCTGCCAATAGGGGTTTCCACTGCTCAGAAGGATGCTCCAATAGAAGGATTTCCCACACAATTTGATCAGTATAAAAAAGAAAAAAAACTGAGTGTAATATTGTCGAAAGAATTTAATTTCTAAGAATGGCTGCATGAATTGCACTCGCATGTTAAAACAATAACAATCAATTACATATGACCATCAAATTACTTTCTACCAATGAAGATTCCCATAGTGTGTGAACTGGCAGCTCAGATGCATCCTTAATCAATTTTTCATGCATAATAGAATAAAAATAAGGTAAAAAAGCAGTACACTTAATTAAAAAAGGGAAATACAACTCCTTGTGACTGGAAGTCAAGAAATATGAGATAATCCTGTGGTGAGAGCGTCTTTACCCTAAACACATGCATGCTCAAGTAATAATGTATTAATACAGTCAGAAAGCAGTGTGTCAGGCTGGGTACCCATGCTTCTTTCTACTTTACTGTCACATCCAACTGGACTACATAAAGGGCAGCCAGGGCATTGAGCTTAATCTTCGACTGAACCAATCACTGTCACAGGCATGGATGAAGGTCCTATATTTGCTGGAAATATCCCCCTGTACACAGTATACAGTAACCTCTTCATACCTGGAGTACTCTCCCATAGGCCTATGCTTTCTGTGGGTCAGATAGAAGCTCTAGAAGTCCAGCCGACACCTGATGCATGATACATGAGAAGGTTTTCTTTCACCGCCAGGCAGGGGACTCCTTTTCTTCTATCACCATCCCCTCCTGACCAGCTGTGGCTCCCAGATGAGCAGGTGCAAATTTTATGTTGTTGGCCCCAGGCAGTCATGTGCATAAAGGTCTTAAGCTGGGTACTCACCTAGCTTTATTGATGTATAATGTTTTCTTCTAAGAACCTCTCACACAGTGCTGCTTTCCTGAACTTCCAGTCAGGGACACACATAGCTAGTTGTCAGAGAAAAGTCACATGACCAATCTAACATCCACAAAGCAGCCTAAAAAATCAATTACATGTGATATATACTAATTTTTACTGTCTAGATTATCGCCATACTGTATATATTATGTGTATTCTATTACCAAAGTACAGGCAGGTGGAAGATTCCCCTTTAAGGGTTACTCCTTCTAGTGGTGGAATGGGGACATGGGGTGTTCCTTTAAAAAGAGGGAGGAGTTTCAGATTTGGGACTTCCATGGAGAGACTGCCTGATGCCACCAGAGAGAGTACCTGGAGGGCTTCTGTGTGCTCTCCTCTAGTAGGGCAGAAAGGAAATCTCTGAGAAAGGTCTGGACTATAAAATGAAAATGTTACTAAACCCACAACAATAAAATCAGTCTGTATATGCAGTAAAGCATGCTTGTTATACTCACTGTGGAACCTAAGGGGTTAATCCTCTGCATTGTGTAAAAAGGCTGTTTGATCCTGTCTTCTCTGCCCCTCCTCTTATTGAATTGACCACCTGATACAGACTGAATCTGTAGTCACATGCACATGCTCAGTTTGGTGTGTATTGCTAGAGAGGGTTTTTTTTTCCTTGGGAGAGTGCATGTGATCAGCATATCCTCCTAAAACAGAAAGAAAACTCATCCTACAAGCTTTAACCAGTGCTCTACTGAAGTCACAAGACTGCTCTAACTGCTGATGACAAAAGGTATTTAGCAGTTTATATTTACTAAAATAATTGCATTTCCATGTTGTGTGTGCTGTGGGAGACCGGATACAGTGAATGCATTTAGCAGTGTGTATCATAAACAATTGCTATGTTTTTTTTCTTTGAAAAATAATATTTTCACATATTTTTAATCCTTTGTTGCATTTCAGAGCTGCAGATAACCAACAATCTCTGCACTGACATTTAGGGGTTTATTTACTAAAGCTGGAGAGTCCAAAATCAGACTCCCTTCTGCATAGAAACCAATCAGCTTCCAGGTTTCATTGCCAAAGCTTCATTGAACAAGCTGAGGTTAGAAGCTGATTGGTTTCTATGCAGAAGGGAGTCTGATTTTGGACTCTCCAGCTTTAGTAAATAAACCCCTTACTGTCTGAATACATGGACTGCAGCAAAGGCTTCATGTAATTACTTAGGGAGGTTTCCTGATGGTGACAGCAGTAGAACATGCCTGTGTAATGGAAGATCACATGACTGGGTGGCAATGTAGGGACAAAATTGAAAGACGGGGCAGAGCATTGTCTCCATATATCAATAATGCCTGAACATGGACCTTTAAGGTGTACATAAACTAACACTATTGCTAAAGCACCTGTTCTTGTCTTCAGATCCCTCCTTTGTGCCTGGGGGAGACCAGTTTATATCCCCGGATTGTTTACAGGGCCTCAATTTCCCTTGGATTTGCATTTTACCAATAATGTTACTTTATGCACTTTGAAGAAGAGGTAGGGAATGGGTTTTTCAGAAAGATATGCTGATACATGGAATTAGCTATAAAAAAATGAATAGTTTCAGGGCCTCTT